GCAAGCGGAATAAATGGTTAGATCATCTGAAGAACTGTAACCAAAGTTTAGGAGTTAATAAGCTGTTGTCTACGGTTTAGTCTCTATCATACTCTACGAAAAGGAAGTTTGCAGATAATATCATATCCGATCCTGAACGTTGCTCGCATGCATTCTGCCGGCTTTTCATTGAGCACACAAAGAGATAAGGTGAAACGGAGTGTTGTCCGCAAACTTCACAATTTTTCAATCTAGGACCTACCACAACCATACAACGCTTCCGGTGTTGCTAAGACCAGCGGGTAGTTTTGTACCTGCCGAAGTTTTCAATCTGTCAGTGAATAGCCTAATCATTCCTAATGCTTGGAAAATGTGTAAATCATACCGATTCTTAATCCGGATAAGATGCGATTAAAGGAAACTCATAGAGGTCAATATTTCTCCTGTCGCGAAGATTTTCCACGCTATTCTCCTCCCCCAGTTGACATGCCACCTCGCAGCAGTTCATCACATTATAATACTGATCAAACAGTTTCTCCTGTCATCGAAGGAGTCATCCTAACTTTGACATTACACAGTTTAATACTTCCCCGAGACATGTCAGGAAGGACTTTCGTGTTCACAGGGAAAACACACTGAGATATGCGCAGGATCCGTTATAACACAACTCGTATACAAAAGCTTCAATCGGTATTCATAGAGGCTCCATTAACTTCGCGGTTGGAGGCCGTCCACCGCAAATAGCAGAATCACAAGAAAACCTGCCGTGCAAAACAAGAGTGGTTCTGTAACAATTCTGTAACAATTGATGCCTACTGGGCCCTCATAGACCGTGCGGTCCCTAATGAATGTCCAGCTTGTGTTCGGGGTCCTCATGATACCCACCACATATTCAGCTGTCTACCCAACCCTTCTACACTTTGTCCAATTGATTAATTGACGAACCCTGTTTAAGCCTGGAACTCAATGCGGAGTATCTGTTACAACAACAACTAACAGGGCTTATATGTAGGTAACCAATAGGATTTCTTTATCCATACCCCAAGTGCTGGCAGCTAACGCTTTAAAAACATAGTTTTTACTTCGAAAGTACATAGTTCATCCGCATAAGATCACATCCACACCTTGTGTGGGTTCAAAATGTTGCAGTTGATCAAGAGCGTCTAGAAGTTGAAGCGTTTAGAAGTTTAGATTGTTTGTCTATAAACTCTAAAAAAGACTGACGATCACTATGATAACTAACGATAACTTTATGTAAATACTGTGGCTGTTAAAAGAGAAGATGCCTCGATCTTCGTGGCAGTTTATGAAGGAATATCGAAGAAGATTGTCCCTCAGAGAACCATATAATCCGTTTCTAACATATAATCTGGATGAAGTCCCTTCTGGGTCCATTTTGATTCTTTGATTGAAACCTCTGACTTATACACGGTTAAGTCAGTAATTCGGTATAAATTCAGTGCTATTGCCGAGACAGCAGATAACAGATTGGCATTTCTCTCATTAGTGAACAATACAATACTTGTCTCTTCAAGAATGGCCGTATTAAAGTGATATGAGTAAACTTTAATCGGTTGATAATTGAAAAATTTTTAATATTCAGATTGTATTTTTCGAATTACTGGAGCGCCAATGGAGCTCAAATGTTTACAGTGTTTATAATTTCAATTACAATTTTAAATGCAAAAATAAAAATGTGTTACCAAAAGAAAGATAAACAAAAAATACGTGAATAAACAAGTTGCTTACATTAAAATGCATTTTTTTAAATAAATTGTAAAAAAAAAACTAATTGTAGATTATAAATTTCTACGAAAAGTAGTGTCAACAACTGAGGTTGTTTAAAAAAAATTAATAAAAAATAACAACAAAAAATTAACATCATAATAAAGAGCTGAAACGACCAACTTACTAAGTGCATTTAGTATATTTTTTTGTTCATAAATCCAATAAAATGAATAGACGAATGAGGGAGAAGCAGAAGGAGATAGTAGTTGGAAAAGCTATTCGTAACTAACTACTAGTAATAGTTGTGAAAAATCAACATATTCATGTTGATTACAGCTAAATACACAGACGGACGGATGGATGGACGGACAGACAGGAGCACGGGCACAATTTAAAGTTTCAAACTTAAATGCTAAACGTTTTTGCTAATCAGTAATTACGATTATTTATAATGGTTGTCATAATTTATTTTATTTGTTTATTTGTATTACTTTTTATTTTATTTTTTGTATAGCTTCTGTTGTAGTTTTTTTTTGTTTTTTCACTTTAGAACTTGTTTAACCAGATTAGTTGGTCTTTCTTCATTAATGACCAGTCAGCGAAATAGAGCAACAAGCTCCTCGAATGTCTGCCGTTTTTTTTTCGATGTTGTTGATGATGATGGTACTTGTAGAAGTATTAGCAGAGATTTTAAGTTATTTGTATTTCTTTTTTATAAGTTTTCTAAGTTGTTCGTCTATTTTATTTGAGTGTGTGTGTGTGTGTGTGTGCTAAACGTATAGAAATAACATAGAATTAATTTTTACATAAAATTATGTGGGTCGAAACTGAAAGATACATAATTTACAGTGTTTGGTCATATTAATGAGGACATTCATCAACAACATATGTACATACAAATTGCTCATATGTAGTATTTGTTAGAAATCACACAAAATATTTGTAGTTTTTTGTGTCTTTAACAAATCGTTGGTCATTTTTCTTTAGCACAATATTCTTCAATTGAATGAGAACGTCTAGGCCACAGTCAAAGTTGTAATACATTCACTGCACCTGTTCTGTTATTTGGCTGTTTTTTTCTTCAAATTTTATGCAATTTTCAAAAGATAGAGTGCAACATGTGCAAAATGAACTTCATTCATAATTTCTGGTACAAGTATTATCGACACCAATGAATTTAATCCATTTACATATCACCAAATATGAGGACTTCGGGTTTATACGACTCTGAGGCAGAAACACTAGAGAAAATAAAATCCAAACATCAAAAGAACACACTCGGTTTTAATATCTATAGAACAGGGAAATACTTAGTATTCAGCTGGTATAAGAAACTTCGGCGGAACATATTAAAAACTAAAGTTTTTAATAAGTATTTCGAAAGTACTCCTGTGAACAAATAAATATTCAACTGTCACCATGAAGCCTGCTCTCCGCGGGTCATGTTATCTTTACGAACTTGCAGCTTGAAAGTCAAATGAATTAGTTTTGGTGGGTAGTCCCGTAATTGTGTATGGAATATCATCGGTAGAAGAAATCACAAATAAAAGTTTAGCGGAGACAAATCGCAAATCGTGTGACACGTAAGATAGTAATAATCAAATTCTAACGCTTGCCGTTGACATAGATACAAGGTCCGAAATCCCCACCAAACACTGACTTTCGGGATACATTAAAAAGATACAAGACTATACAAAATAATTGGCGGTGGCGGCTCGAACTTTTTAGATCGGCGGTCTGTTATTAAATATACCGGCGGCCGCTAAAATGTCGGCTAAATGTTTTATTGAAATGTATCTCTATATAAGTATTTTCTAGAAAAGATATTCATTATTACAACTATTTATATGAACAATTTTCTATATATACTATAGTCTTGTCTATATAATCGCCCGGCCAATTGTATCGACTATATTGTATTGTCTCTATAAAGCTGGAGGTCCAGACTACGAGTCTTCGTGGCAAAGCATTTTATGCTTCTCATATATTCTTTGCGTCCTACGCATCAAGTTACATGCTACGATTCTTAAGCGTCAAATTTTTGCTTTATTTACAAAGAACTTTGAGTTTTTTTAAGTTTTTTGTTTATATTTTCACAATTTAACTCGTTTTAGTTATTAAAATTGATAAATACACATTAAAAATAGAATATAAATTGTCAAAATCAGCTGACATATTCGTGCGCCGATTATGACGCTTACAAAAGTAGACAGTAGATCTACTTTAAGCATTCTACGCGTCAAGGCATTTTGTGATTGTAACCTCTAGCACACAACAACATTGATTCTACTTTTTTGACAGCCGCGTAGAATGCGAAGAAGCGTAGATCGCGTGGTGTGGACCTCCAGCTAAAATTTTTCACAATTTAAATATATGAACATAATATAATGTGGCAACTCGTTTAAATTTGTCTGTAAATAAAGGCAACTCAGCCACGGCGGCGTGGCTTGGCAAGATATGGCCGGCGACCAGCCGCCGCTGATTTGAGCCGAGTCGGCGTGTTTCCCTGTGGTATCATTCAAATTCAACAATTTAATTTGTTGACGAAAAAATTAGCTTTTTTCTTGATGAAAATTTCCTCTAATAAACCATTAATAACTTTATTAATTGTTTATGAATTCTGGAATAAATTTAACAAATCAGGTCTATATATGCAGTTTTATAACAGTATGCATTTCTTGTATATAAAGTTTGCTATTAAATTTTCTTTATAATACAATAATAAAATCATTTCACGCTTGGAAAATTTAACGGATTTTTATATTTGTTTTTTTTTTTTTCAATTCAAAAACGCGATATTAGTAGATGTGTTTAAATTGGCCTTGGTAGAAAAATAAAATTGTGTTAAATATCAGTTTTATTAATGCTAATGATTATTACAACATTTTTCAAGTAAAGTTTGTTAAAGAAATGGAAAATATTTGATTTGTATAAAAAACAAACTGAATAATTTTATTTAAATCTATAAATTAGTGAAATCTAATATTAAACAAAGAAAACTGCTAGAAGTAAAACTATTAATTTTAATATTTCTATTAAATATATTACTGTAATTCATAATTTTTAACACTAACGTAACAATCAATTCAAATAAATGCTAATTAATTTAACAACCTATAAATAATTAAGTTTTTATTAATATTGTTGTTAGATTATTATTATAAAATAACTAAATAATTAGCGCTATTATTAATATTATGCATTCATAAATTATAAAGTTTAAATACGTTTTATTTAAGTTGCATTTTTAATTATTTAAATTAATTTTCTCTCCTTTTTTTTCTTTTTTCTAGGTACGAACATTTTTGCTTAATAAATTTCATATAATTGTAAGTATTTATGTTTTTTTAAATAGAAAAATATTTAAAAATTATTTTTATTTTATCTCGCATTTATTCCTGTTCTTATTACGTTTCTCTAGTTCTTCTTCTTTTCTGGAATACTACAAATTCGTTAAACAAAAAAAATATAGACTAATAAATCTTAAAATTTGTTAATGACTTTTACAAACAGGTTTTTGTTAACGACTTTTGGTTAAAAAAAAATACATACAAACGTAGCCAACATTAAATAAAATATTAAACAAAAACAATATTCCCAGCCAAAGTAAATATACCTTCCCATTGTTCAAATATTTGGCCAAATAAATAACATTTATAAAACAAAAAAGTTAATTTTTTATTACATTAAAATTAGCAAATTTTATCTGTATAATGTTTAACTCAATTCTCTTTACTTCTTAAACACATTTAGATAATTTAAATTAATTTCATTTCAATTATTTGCATTTAATAATCTCTAAATTTCACTTCTTTTGTTTCTTTTTCAATAAAACTGATAAAAGTAAAAATGTGTATTTTATTTTACATTTACCTCTTCTTGTATTGATTTAATCAAAATTCTAATCAAAATAATTTCCAAAAATTTCTATCTATTTGTGTTTATATACGGAAATTTATCAGTATTTGTTAAACCGTATAAATGTATGAGTTATGTAGTGTATATAATGCTTAATGGGTTCACCTAAAATCCCAACAAAATTAAGGTGTAATTTTACTCAACCTTCACTTCGAACGTTCGCCCGAAAGCACTCATTGGAGAATAGGTTGTAAGAGACAGAATAGAGAAAGTTAAGTTCTCGAAAATTTCATTTAAACTTTCTCATCGAAAGTGACGTAAATAACTTTTACACGAATTTTATTTATGCGGACATATATCTTGTAATTGATGTGTCGATTGTTCAGTTCTTTAATTCAGGTTCAGTTCTGGTTTATTTCTGGTTCAGTTTTAGTTCAGTTCTAGTTCAGTTCTAGTTCAGTTCTAGTTCAGTTCTAGTTCAGTTGTAGTTGAGCTCTAGTTCAGTTCTAGTTCAGTTCTAGCTCAGTTCTAGTTCAGTTCTAGTTCAGTTCTAGTTCAGTTCTAGTTCAGTTCTAGTTCAGTTCTAGTTCAGTTCTAGTTCAGTTCTAGTGCAGTTCTAGTTCAGTTCTAGTGCAGTTCTAGTTCAGTTCTAGTTCAGTTCTAGTTCAGTTCTAGTTCAGTTCTAGTTCAGTTCTAGTTGAGTTCTAGTTCTAATTCAGTTCTAGTTCTAATTCAGTTCTAGTTCAGTTCTAGTTCAGTTCTAGTTCAATTCTAGTTCAGTTCTAGTTCAGTTCTAGTTCAGTTCTAGTTCAGTTCTAGTTCAGTTCTAGTTCAGTTCTAGTTCTAGTTCAGTTCTAGTTCAGTTCTAGTTCAGTTCTAGTTCAGTTCTAGTTCAGTTCTAGTTCAGTTCTAGTTCAGTTCTAGTTCAGTTCTAGTTCAGTTCTAGTTCAGTTCTAGTTCAGTTCTAGTTCAGTTCTAGTTCAGTTCTAGTTCAGTTCTAGTTCAGTTCTAGTTCAGTTCTAGTTCAGTTCTAGTTCAGTTCTAGTTCAGTTCTAGTTCAGTTCTAGTTCAGTTCTAGTTCAGTTCTAGTTCAGTTCTAGTTCAGTTCTAGTTCAGTTCTAGTTCAGTTCTAGTTCAGTTCTAGTTCAGTTCTAGTTCAGTTCTAGTTCAGTTCTAGTTCAGTTCTAGTTCAGTTCTAGTTCTGTTCTAGTTCAGTTCTAGTTCAGTTCTAGTTCAGTTCTAGTTCAGTTCAGTTCTAGTTCAGTTCTAGTTCAGTTCTAGTTCAGTTCTAGTTCAATTCTAGTTCAGTTCTAGTTCAGTTCTAGTTCAGTTCTAGTTCAGTTCTAGTTCAGATCTAGTTCCGTTCTAGTTCAGTTCTAGTTCAGTTCTGGTTCAGATCTAGTTCAGTTCTAGTTCAGTTCTAGTTCAGTTCTAGTTTAGTTCTAGTTTAGTTCTAGTTCAGTTCTAGTTCAGTTCTAGTTGAGTTCTAGTTCAGTTCTAGTTCAGTTCTAGTTCAGTTCTAGTTCGGTTCTAGTTCAGTTCTAGTTCAGTTCTAGTTCAGTTCTAGTTCAGTTCTAGTTCAGTTCTAGTTCAGTTCTAGTTCAGTTCTAGTTCAGTTCTAGTTCAGTTCTAGTTCAGTTCTAGTTCAGTTCTAGTTCAGTTCTAGTTCAGTTCTAGTTCAGTTCTAGTTCAGTTCTAGTTCAATTCCAGTTTAGTTCTATTTTAATTCCAGTTCAATTCTAGCTCAGATCTATATCAATTCTAGTTCTGTTCTAGTTCAATTCCAGTTTAGTTCTATTTTAATTCCAATTCAGTTCAGTTCTTGTTCTGTTGTAGTTCCATTTTAGTTAAGTTCTAGATTTTGTTATAGGTCAGTCCAATTTCAGATCTAATTCGGTTATAAAACGGGTTTAGTTCATTTTCTAGATCTAGTACAGTTTTATTCTAGTTGTTATCTAGTTTTATTCCAATTTTGTTCTAATTCTTTTACTTCTAGAAGTTTTGTGAAATTGAACCGGATTTAAAATGAACACTGATTTATGTGTTTGTATTTCATTGTGGATATACATACACATACATATGTATGTAATGAATTTAGTATACATATAAATAATATAAATATCCTTCATATAACTATATTGATATCTAAACTTATCGATTAGGCAGAGCTGTAACAGTATGTTAAAGTACATATTAGAATCGTTATGTACCTATACATTCAATATCTTAATAGACCTCCATGCAAATGTTTACGAGCTTCCGTGCATTAAGACTTGTATTTAAAGAATTTAAGGTATTTTGGAAAAACCTCTTTGATGAATTAAAACCAGAAATATACTCGTATCAGTTTAATTTGTAAAGTATCATTCCGTTTTTTTTTTTTTTTCAAATTGAAATGATACTTTAAAGTGCATCTCGGTACAATTTAAATAGTAAAGTGCACCTAAAATGGAATATGTATTCGTATGCTGCCAACACCAGCACCATCATCTCCACTAACTCGCTCACTCACTCACTCACTACCAGCATCGTCGTCGTCGTAGTCAACATCATTATCAACATCATGTGTGTTTGTGTTTTTCTCTATATGAGTTGTGTTGCACTATTGTTCTCGTTTGGTAACCATTTATATGTTTTGTGCAACAACTCAGGGATGTCTAAATAGTCAGTTAGTTGTTGTTTAGTTTAGTTTAGTTTAGTCGGTTGTTGTTGTATAGTTGTTGGTTGGTACTAGATGTTGTTGTTTTGTATCTGTAAATACACAGATAATATCTGTCGTTGTGTTAGTTTATTGCTAAAGTATTTGTGTGTATCTTCAAACTATTTCTATAACTTGATGTTTTCATACATACAAAACATACTCAGCAGTTTTACTAGTTACCAAAGAATCCCTCTTAAATTCCACAAATGTCTATTACAATTTACAAATAAGTGCAATTGATTACTTAGCATATCACTGGTAACCTATTTTGGGTACAATTATTACTTTCTGGTTCATAAGTAATCAGCAATCTATATTCAATTCCAATTTTGTAATCATTATTGGTAGTTAAAATCACTAGAAAGAGCGGTTTTGGCACTCGAAACTACTAGGTAGATATTTGTAAGTTTATATGTTGTAGTTGTATAGTCGTCGAAATATTTACATAACTGTTCTAATGTTTTACAACATACATATGTATGTATGTATGTATGTATAAAATACAGTAATGCATATATGTACTGTTTCGCATAGTTACATTAGAACATTTCTGTATGTTACTTTATACCTTTGTAAATTGGGAATAATTTATTTTTTCAAAATCTTTATTAATTACATTTTATCAAATTTAAAAGAAAACTAATTTTTTATAAGATCCAGTTATATTTAATGGATACATCTGAAATACATACTAATTTGTATGACAATATTTACTGCTTCGGGAGTGGATTACTTCGATTTTGTTTCTTCACAGCTACAACATTTCACGGACTTCCAGATCTAAACGAAATATAGAACCCTATTAGCTATGTATGAAACCTGCATTATGATTTGAGGTAACGTACTCCTTCATTGATGTTCCGAAATCAAATAGGTCCTAAATATAATGAGATTTTTTCATTAATACCGAATGCATAAAAATCGTTAAAGTATTGAATTAATAAAATGAAACGTTTAAATCTTTGTAATCAATAGAAAGAAAAATTTGTTTCATTAAACTCCAATATGTCGTAAATGTAATGAAATTTTATCATTAATACCAAATGCTAATATTGCTAAAGTAATGAAAAAAATTTCATTAATATAATGAAACGTTTGAAACTTTGTGATTAATAAAATGAAAAATTTGTTTCATCAAACTCCAAGATGTCGAAAATATAATGAAATTTTGTCATTAACTACTACAAATGCTTAAAAAAGAAGATCGAATAATTTCAAGTTATGAATTCTAAGTTATCGTAAATATAATGAAATGTTGTGATTAATAGCAAATGCATAAATATCGTTAAGCAATGAAGATAATTTCGTTAATATAAAGAAACATTTGATCTTTGTGATCGATAAAATGAAAAACTTGCTTCATTTAGCTCCAAGATGTCATAAATATAATGAAATTTTGTCAATAATACTAATTGCATAAATATCATGAAAGTAATGAAGAAAATTTCAGTAATATAATGAAACGTTTAAATCTTTGTGATCAATAGAAAGAAAAATTTGTTTCATTAAACTTCATTATGTCAAAATGCAATGAAATGTTGCCATTAATACCAAATGTAAATAATGAAGAAAATTTCATTAATATAATGAAACGTTAGAATCTTTGTGATCGATAAAAATGAAAAACTTCTTTCATTTAACTCTAAGTTTTCGTAAATATAATGAAATTTTGTCTTTAATAGCAAAGTTTCGTAAATGGAATGTAAAAAAAATTAAATTTATAAATATTTATTTGTTTAAGTAACTTTATGTTTGTATATGTATACAAAT